TCCTGCAGACTGTGGGGCTGGCAGTGAGAGGAGGAGCCCTGAAAAACACTCAGCTTTTTATCGCAAGTAGGCAATCACCATCATTTTCCACCCCACACAGCCACCTGCATCTCCCCCATCTGTCTGGCCACCCTACCTATCTCCTACTGCCTGGGGGCAACCAGGGCAGGCACAGGCTGCAGGGTGGCCTCCCACGGCCCACCTCCTCCAGGCAGGGCTTCTGTTGCCCTCAGGTCACCCACCCCAGGCAGCTGGCTGGCAGCAGAGGTCAGGAAGGAGTGACAGCTTCTTCCATGCTCCTCCTTCTACCTTTCCAGGCTCCTCGGCCCGTGCGGAGCTGCCTGTGCTCTAGCCCCTTCTGCTAGAAAGCAGCCCCAGCTGGATGATACACGGCAAAGCTCAAACACCACCACTTTCCCCCGAGATTCTTGGTCTAAATATGGCACCACCAGAGCGTAAACGTGCATTTTGGAGAGAACCAACTTCAGGATGAGCAAAAGTTTTTGCACAAAGAAACCAGGGAAATATTCCCTACCCCTTTTCATAGGAGCCGGAGCAATCCAAGTAACTAAGACGTTAATGAAACAAAGATTTTCATTTGCCAGGTTAAATTGTGCTCTCTATTTATTTATACTTTTTTTTTTGCCTGAAAGTGAGCTACATCTTTGTACTGTCACTAAGTAATCATTTTTCTATGCTTGGCCAGAAAAGAATCTGACCTGGGCAAACTGTTTAACTTGCTGCTCATCAAAGACAGGCAAAGTCTGGCTCTCCGCTGTTTGAACAGCGGAACAGTCTTTTTACAGCCAGCCTTATTAAAGCACAGGATTTTATTAGCTGTTTTGTGGTAATACGGTGAAGGACAATGTTGTGGAATGCTCCTTCAGGAGATTTGGGATCTTGTATACTTTGGGGTTTACTTGCCTCTTTCGGACTAGGATGCTTGGCAACCAACTAATACGACAGCTTCATTGTACTATTCTCTTCCTTAAAGCCACCTTTGACAAACAGTTTTTTAGCCAGGTAGAGGAAAATTACTGCTTGAAGAAATGTAAGAAAAATATACTATTGCCCAGTTGTTCTGGGGGTTTTGGTTTGTTTTTTTTTTTGTTTTGTTCTTTTATTAAACCATTGCAGATTTTCAGGTACTGGGAAAAAGTCCAGACAGAGGGTGAAAAATCTACTTTGGCCACATGCATATAGAGCAACGTTGTATATTCAAAACATTGAAGCTCATGTGGTTTTCCTCTTTGGCAAATTTCTTTAAAGTTCTGGTAATTTTCTCATAACAACATTTTTAACAGATTGTAAACGTCCCTTTTTCCTGAAAACCACTTTTGGGGCACATAAAGTTTCAATTAGCATTTGAGAATACCTGCCAGGAAGTTTTCATGAACATTTAAACAAATACGTCCTCTTTATTTTGCAAAAGAACAAAGTATTCTGACAGATTTCAGCGATTTCCCATCATCTTTTGTTTCATAACTCTAATGGGAAACAAAGAAGAGCAAAGCTTCCAAATCATTGACGAGCTGTAACGAGAACTGTGTTACTTTGGACTGTTGACGCCAAAATAAAGATTGAAACACAAGTTTTTGTATTTGGGACTGACTGTGAAAGGCTTTTGGGGAATGGAAGCTACACGTCTTTGACGCCCGCTGGTTAACACCTTTACAGTCACCACCAGAAAATTTAGAGACATTTTACTCTAGAAAGGTCCTTTTTCCAGTTACGGTATTTTCTGTGCCAACTATATTCAAGTGCTTCGGCGGAACAATGAAAGCATGTATTTACATAGTCAAATATAGTTATTTTATATCATGCAGAACAGCTCCCACCATGTGGAATGAAATGCATTAGTCAAATATGTGTATGACGACTCTATCACAACTCCTGCTCGCAGAGGCAGCAAACCTTTCAACGCTCTCCAGGCTTGAGACTACCAGGTATTAAAACCTTGCAGGCTGCAGCAGATTCTCACTTTTACAAGAATTTTGGGCACTTGCTCAAATGCAGCACCTCTGTGCTCTGCTGGGCAGGAAAGAGAGAGCATTCCCCAAACTGGTCAGGCTCACTGCCCAGTTTGCTGGTTTAAATGAGGTTCAGTTGCCCAAGCCTCTGATTTTGGAGCTTCAGCTTTGAAAATAAACTCAGGAGTAAATCCTTACTTCACAGTCAACAACTCCAGGGAGCTTTGTTTTTTTTAAAAAAATAAAACAAACAAACAAAACACCGATACTCACTTTTCTCCAGACTCCAAATCCAAGAGAAATCTCAACACACTCCTGGTTCTTTGAAGAGAAAATGAACATCGTACAGCACAGGAGGAAGCAGATGCCCCGTTGTGTTGGAGGAACTTTGTCCCAAGGCTTTCCCAGATCTCCAGCCGGTGCAGCTAAGGATGTACCTATGTTATATTTCAAAGATAAACCAAAAATCTTGCAGCACCCCTTCCACAAACTACCATATTGGAAGAAGAGATGCTTTGAGGTATCGCACTAGTAACCGTTACTAACTTAATTAGATCAACCTGTACTCCCACTGTAGGCAATCTAATTATGAAAATCACCCTTGAGCTAGAGGATTAAGGTAGAACCTTCTATGCTTGATCTTAATTTTTTTTCCTTTTAACTGAAGCAGCATCTTATGTATGTAAAACCTACTACGAGCATGTATTTTCCAAGATAAACTAAACAGAACTGTTTATTGCAACTATTGTTGCCCTGTCACGATTGCCAGGAGCCAGACCACAAAAGCCTCACGCTATACCATTTGCAACGAGGTCCCTGGAGCCATTATTGTTTTATTAATCTCTTTACCCAGCTAATTGTGGAAGCATAGTCTACAACTTCTAAAAGCCACACATTGAGATTTTGCTCTTTTTCATGCTCTGTGCTCATCCCTTTATAGCAACCCATGTAACTGCTTCTCCAGCCCCAAGAAACAGCCTCAGCTGATACCAAGACAGGACTAAATTCCTCATTAACAGAGCTAGTTAAGTTTTGCTTGTCAGAAGGGGTTTCATAAATTCTTTGCACCTGCCCTGCACTTAACACTTGCCTGTGCTGGGCTCCCAGGAGTTAGGGGATGATGCTAAGCCCACAATCACATTTTTGAGACCCGGCTTAGGTGCAGCTAAACATATTACTTTCTCCTAGACAACTCTTCCCTTTTGGATTCATATGCAATAGGTATGAGTACAGTACTATCAATAGATTGATGGGTTTTGCTTTAGCTCTTGCTGTGTGGAAACAGTGGCTGGCTTCCTTTTCCCCTGTGCAAACTGTGACGCTTCATGGGGACGCAGCAGATGCTATAGCTCAAGTCAAATCATAATCCAAAACATCAAGGATTTTAACATCCAGAAAGGTCCCAGCAAACAGAAATGTATACAATTAATGTTCCTAAGCTCCCTTGTTGTTGTTTGTTTTGGGTTTTTTTAAATTTTTTGCTATTTAAAAATTTTTTTTTGCATTGCTATGGCTGGGCAGCACCCTTGGGGAAAACAAACTTAGCTGCTGAGAAAACAGTGCGTTATTTCTTTTTAGTCCTTTTGGAGTCCTAAGGAGATCTGTGAAAGCTCCTCACGTGGGAAACCACAGCATGATTTCCTACCAAGTTCTCCCTTTACAAGGTCTTTGAACACCAGCATCCACAGTGCAGGGAACCAGTATCAAGTCATAGGAAACAAAGATGAACTGGAGAACCTTCACCAACCTCTGAAAGGTTCACAAGAATGGCACGTGTGTGCTTCTGAGCAAAAAAAAAAAAAAAAGGAATAACAAACAACTACACAAAAGCCTTCATCTTTTAAAACCAAGAGTGTGCAGCATAGCTATAGAAAAAAGAAAGTGCGTAATACAATTTTCTGACTGACTGCTAAACCAACTCTTTCTAGATGTGCTATTTCCCCTCTCTATTTTTATCGCAGCCTTCCAGACTCTGACATGCCTCTTGGCTTCCTTGACCATATGGATCTGCCAAGCAGTATGAATTCTGTAGGGATAGCCTGCAGAAATATCCTAGCAAGGTGTCTCACTTTGCAGGTTTGTAAAAAGGGGACTTTGTTGTTTTGAAAAAAAAAAAAAAAAAAAAAGGAATTACAAACTAGGACATGGATTATTCTTCAGGTAATTCATGCCAGGAGAAACAAACAGGGAAAGAAACCAAGCAGGCAAAGAGACAAGAGCAATGCAGCACGCCTAAAACTTTAATCTTTGTTTTTAAAGAGTACAGAGTTGAAAGTGACACTTTCTTCTCCTTCCCACTCTCTACCTGTTGCTTCCCAAGTTCTCCCTAAAAGGAAATATTTCTTTGTTGATTAGTTTGACTTCCCTTCAAGCGAGGCACACCCGTTAATCTCCAAAAGTATGCCCCAATTCAGTAAAACACTTGCACATGCACTTCACTTTAGTCCACTCCCATTCATGGCAACATTTAAGTGTACATACTTGAAGGCTGTTTTGAATAGGGGTGGTTTTACTCAACCAAAGATGGGGAGGGGTGGGGGGAGGTGAATATGTTTGTGTGGTCTTAACGGGGGAGGGGAAGGAGGGAAGACATACAACATACATCATCTTGCTCCCAATTTAAAAGCAATCTTAGCAGCAGTCAGTGACCGACATGTTGGTAAAAATCTTAAGCAGCAGCCTAACCACAGAATTGTGTGGCAGTAAGAAATCCAATGACATTTAAAAAAGGGTAGCTCTGAAATCACTGCTGAATGCCAGCTGAAGCAGTCAGTCAGACTTCTAAGTTTAAACATCCTCTGCTCCTAATTCCACCAGGCAAACACGCTTCTTTAATTACAATTATATAAAAGGAGAGACTGGCAAGACAATTAAAAAAAAAATTAATAAAAATCAAGAATCGTATAACCTACAGAGTCCAGAAAACAGGACTCTGGAAAATTAAAGTGTTTGTATTTTATTTTACATCGTTGGCTTTCACTTTTTATCCCTTTGAAATACATTTAGTTTTAGATTACTAAAGATCATAAACTAATAAATTGATACGTTCTTTAAACAGACATAAAAAAATTCAGACATTACACCACAGGACCCATCATTTAAAAACAGAGCAGTTAAAGTGATGCTGGCTAATGTGAGGATAAAACGCCTAGATAAAAGATGTCGTGGCTCTAAGGAAAAGTGTGGATTAGAGGAGAATTGAGAGTGAAGCAGGTGATGCTTTAGTCTGAATCTGAACTGTCTTGCTTGTTGGTTTGGTACTGGCTGACTGCTTCTTCCAAAGGAGCCATTGTACCATCCGGCCGCACTCCCATTGGTTTTATAAGCTCATCTCTGTAAGAGATTTAAAAAAAAAGAACATATATTAGCATATGCACACATATCAATTCACATGTGTACAATACAGTCACATACAGTATATGCTTTAGTACATAATGAGCCTTTAAAAGGAAGTTATTTCTGCTAAAGCCCTCTGTTTTGAAGAAAGAGGAACAAAAAACCTTCCAAAATAGGTGGGAGGGGAAGAGCGGGACAGATAAAGACTTCATTCATGTAGGCCAAACCTACTTAGCCAATTAAAGACACCATGAAAAGTCAGTGCCTAATAGGCTCAAGACAAGGAGCAGGTTCCCTCTTTTAGATTCACAAACTAGCTTTTCTTCTAACAGTTCTCTGACAGCCACTGCTTCCTAAAATTTCACCTGCCGTTCTGGCCAGTATATGCCCAGGCAATTAAAACAATGATTTGATCCATATTCATCTCGTCAAAGGAAATAAATCATTTACGAGAACAGACTCTACTTACACCACTACTAGGGGTGTGGAAGTACTTGTTGATTCATTTAAAAAAAAAAGCCGACTGATTCTCATACTATTGCTTTTGTTTGTGGCAGTTTAATTACAGGATTGACAGCCATTTTAATCTCTTCAAAGCTCCAAAGGCCTCTCAGCAGCTAATCCAATTATATCTACTCCACAAGCTACAGCCTCATCTAAGAGATGATTAATTATTGATTAAGCCAATCAAAACGTATTAGCAAAGATTTATTTAATCCTTATGTTTTATCACCTCATTTATATGTGGATTATGGCAAAAGCTGTAAGGGCAAAGATAACATTTTGATTTTCTGCTGAAAAAAAAAATAATGGAGAATACCTCTAAATATTCAGGAGTCACCTTAAATAAAAGAGCGGAGGCTTGATGTCAATGTACCCCTTGCTTGAAAGGCAGCCCGGTAAAACTGCCGATTTAACACACGTACAGCACCCTCCCCAGCCACGGACAATAACGCTCCATCGCTCAACGGGGAAGCAAAGGCATTTCCCCAGCTCCCTGCCTGGGCTGCACCACCACCTTGGCTGAAAAAAGGGACAAACATTGCTTGCACAGGGCTGGCAATCTAATCTTAACACAACCAGAGGAACAGCAAGAAAGGCAATATCTGAATTACATACGTGGCATGTGTATGCTAGATATTGTATAGTCAAGCAGCAGTTAAATTAAGTCTCCAAGAGTCTCTTTTGCTCAGGAAGAGCAATGACCAGCCAGAGAAATGCAGCTGTTTGTGCAGATGTGGCGATCGGACACTGCGGTGACAAACGCACAAACCCCACTGCCTGCAGCATTTCAAAATGTGAGAAACCACACCTGGAGAAACTGCTGTGGTTTGGCTCACCAGGGCCGGGTGAGAAGGTGGGGGCCAGGGGAGGAGGTTTGCAGTGACCATACTTGAAGAGCACAGCCCGGACTCTGTCTGTGTGTGTGTGTAGGAGTAGGACCTATCTCTAACTGGACTGGCGACAGCTTGCCATACTTGAGGGCTGACAGCAAGTCCTCTCCCTTCAGGCAATGAGGGCTGGAGTATGCAGATTCTGCCCAAATGAGAGCACTCTTAAGTTTTCAAGTATCTACTGGAGATGTGTGCAAGAAGAGATCAAAACAATACTCGAGATCAGATTCAAGAGGGCTCAAAAAATGAAGACTGCAGATCTAGTGTCCGACAGGACCAGTACCCTCCCTGCCTGCTGTGGGGGTCTCCCAAAGGCAAAGCAAGAGTGCTTTGGAGTTGCATTTAGTAGCAAAGACTTTTTTCACAGGAAAAAAAACGATATATCTAAGGCCTTTTTGGCTTTTAAACTTTAAGCACCGTAATACGAAAGAAGTGTCTTTTGAAATCTGTATTCAGTCTTGCAACAAATTCTTCAGTGCCACTTACTCAAACGTGATCTAATACACTTATATTTTTTAAGAATAACCTGAACAGTTAAGTCCTTGCTCATATTTTTAAGTCCTAAAAATAAAAACATAGCCACAAAGAATGAGATCACCTTTGTTTCCCTCCAAGATGAGAGGATCCTAGATGTTTGTTTTAAAAACCACAACACATACGCTTCGGTTGCAACATTTAACATTGCAGCCAGGTGTTTTTCCTAACCAGAATCTAGTCCTAAAATGGTGTAAAACATGGCATCCTCTCACCAGTGAAGACCTGACACCAAGCTCTGGACATGACACAAGCTTACTCCTGTTTTTCAAAGGGGAAAAGTAAAGAGGGAGACAAGTAGGTGAGAAGATCTGGGCTGCTTACAAAGCCAGCTCCAGAAGTTTGGAACAACTACCTGCTAAATAATAGAATTTTGGGTAGGGTTGCAAGAGGCATCACTCAGCTGACTTCAGTAGCACACAAGAGCCCACTGGGCTGATCCTTACCTGGTATGAACAGTCTTAGCTCTGCCAGCCTCACCAATTTGCAGGTTTAGCACTGGCTGCTTAGAGACCTCAACTGAGCTTTGACAGCTTGGGATGCTGAGGACATGACGGGTTGATGAAGTGCTGGGAGGAATGGTTTAGTGATGATGCTCCTTGTTTGTTGTGTGGGTGTCTATTTTTGTCAGTTAGGTTGACGGTTGGACAAGATGATCTTTAAGGTCCCTTCCAACCTAGAAGATTCTGTGATTCTGTGACATGCTTACTTAAGGATTTTAAGGTAAAATACAAGGTGGCAAGGGAAGCACCAGAAACAGGCATGTATAGCCTCAGAAGAGAGTTTATCAGCCAAAAACTGGATGTTTATGGTCCATCTATAGGGCAGAAGAGAGATTGCTTCAGCCCAGTAGGTGGCAGCGGGAATACTTCCGTGTCCATGAAGATGATAAATGTGCATATTTATACATATCTGACCATCCTTATGTGACCTCCCATATACTCAAATACACCTTCTTGCAACATTCATTTTTCTAATGCAAACAAAGCATTCTATTCAAGTGTACTTAGAAACACACCATAATTAAACAGTTGGTAAAATGCATTCTCTTCCTCCACTTCCAGATCTCCCGAGAGTCCCTTCAAATATATCTATACAAGTTCTAGCTTCCTGCTTGCCATTTAGCTTGATAACGACTCAAAAAATCATTCCTTTGTTTTGAAGGGTAACTCTTTCTTGTCTGCCCTATGTGCTACAGGGCAGTATTGACACATGGAATTAATGACGGTGTCTGTAATGAAACAGCCATCATGTGAACACCGGTCTGCTGCTTTGATAAAATGGCATGTGAGGGACCTATTCACCTCCTTATAATTGAGTACTACATAATAGTTCCGATCCTTTCATGTAACATTATTTTGTTCTATGATTAGAAAGGGGAGGGGGGGGAATCTATGTAACATTGCCTTCTTCATTCATCCCGTGATTAATTTTGTGTTTTTAATGAGTATGGTTGCTTATTTAGACAGGTTCTCTTACATACTCGTTTTGTTGACTTCTGTTCAATGTACAACAAAACCCAAGCTGTGATAATTGGAGACCATTTCATCAGCGGAAGGATTCTTGCTATTAATACAAGGTTGGCTTGGAAAAAGCATCCTGACATTTTAAATTAGTCAATTAATATACAATTCTACCTACCATTTATAATAGAAAAAATGTTAGCATTTTTTCCAGACATTTTAATTAACGCAGAGTATTTCCAATAATTTATTATATAAACAGACAGAATGTCACACAACACTGATTTAAGGTGGCTAACTTCATATTTTGCAAAAATGAAAGGTTGAGTTAAATTTTTTTGCAGATCTGGGGAGTTTTTGAAACCTCGAAGATGTGCGTCACATACAGGCGACAATGATTTACAGTCACCAAACAACTCTCAATGATTATCAACAAGACAGTGTCTACTCCTACTGCAGACAAAGCCCAAAGAGTTACTTTAGGGCTAAGTTCCGGCATCCAGCAAACTACTTAAGTACCATCTACATCTCCCAAGAGCTGCAGAAATCAAGATGTTTCATCTTCATTTACACTTATAATTTATAAATATATATCATGACATTAGAAACTAATCTTATCCAGTCAAATTTCAACAAAATATTAATTTCTGTAAAGCTTTTGTAGAACCCGAGTCTATGTTAAAATATTGAGGCAGGGGAAATTGGTTCACAAACCATATTCAGCTTTCCTCCACACTTTTTGATAAAATAAAACTGTGTGATTGATTTTAATTTGGCGCTGTCAATGGTCTGAACTGGCCTAAACACCAACAACGTAACAGAATAGAAAAGCTTTGGAAGTGAGATCAGAAATGACCAAAAGAATGGATCAGTTTTACATCACCTCAAAACAGTTTCAGTTCTTCAGTGCCAATGCTGCAAATAAAGAGAAACCTGGAGAGCAAAAATCCACTGGCACCTTCTGGATCAAGGGAGAAAATGCCAATTTGTTACCGATAGTTTCAGTAAACCCATACAAAGGGCACAGCAGCCATTAATGAAGGATGTAACTTTTCAAAGAAGTGGTCCTGTTTCACAAATTTGTTTTCTAAATTCAATCCATCATCAGGTAACTTTTCAAAAGCGATACAGAGCCAGTCAAAGCCTAATCTAGAACACCCCGGTGACAGACTGGCCTGATTATCCTCATCAGTCAGGAAGGGAAGCAACTTTGTCAGTTTCTCAAGTTTGGTTTTTTTCCATACCTTTCTCCAGTGAAACCATGCTAGCTCTTTAAAGCTTTGCTTCCGTTACTGGGACAATACAAGTGTACTAAGCAAACCGGTTTTGCTGTACATCACGCAAGTTCACTCAAAGTTCTTGTTCAAGTTACACAGATGAAGTTACATCAACTCTTTCAAGATGAGAAGAAGGAGCTGTTGGTTCCCTGTCCAACTTCCTCCCCTCTTATAAGGAAAGCGCTGCACCAAACAGAAACTGCTCATTTCATGGTAGATGTCCCCTCCCATGGTGACAACAACAAAGACCAGCAGAAGTGTGAAGTCTGCCACCAGCAGTCTGCCTCAAAGCAAGATTCAAAACCCAGAATCAACTGAAAACTCCTATCCAGTTTCAATTTGTAGGTTGTAGACCAAGGAAAAAAGCACACGCCACCGGTAGCTTTTAGTCTCTGCAGACTCCCAGCACTGACAGGCTCAAGCTGGAAGCCAAAGTGCTCAATTCCTAAAACATGGAGGGACTTCCACTACTGTCAGCACGTCACTAGCTCTTTCTTCTTGTATAGAAGACTGGCGGTTTCCCATTTAACATCTGCAAGCCCCACAATTGCATTCAATTACGTTCATTAAAAACATCCCACAGCCTCCCAAACTCAAGTCTTACTTTCTTTTTCCTTCCTGCCAGCATTCCCCACCCCCTCCATTTTCAGTAAAACAAAAAGGGTAGGAAGAACAGTCAAGTGATTTTATTCATGTTATCACAGCACCTAAAGGGGTCACATCAACAACGCTGTCCCACAGTAATCACTATACTGAAAAACAAACAAACAAAAACCTTACAAACAAAAAGAGCCCCAGCCCTGAAGAGTTTGCGCTCTGAGAAACTGCAGGTGGATGTAAGTGAGGCAGAAAGCCCAAGGTGAAAGTAATGCTACTGGCCAAGAGGGTAAGCAGTGACACAGGGCACCAGCTGCTCAGTTATTGTCCGTTTGTAGCAGGCAACCCAGCAGGTGCCTCCAATCCTCCAAACTGAAAAGGCTCTTATGCTACAGTAACGCCATTTGGACTTTGTGTGTGTAACTGCTATAGTGAGAGCCACTGACTTGTCTTCAGTCTTAGTTTATCTCTGCTCTCAATCTGCCTTTTTAAAAAAAAAGTTTTAGACCCTTTAGTCGTTTTATTGTGGTACCCCTAACACTCAGCATCTTAATTCTCTAGCTTACATAGCAATCATTCCAATTTACACAGCAGTTCAATTAAGATTATATGTGCATTGCATTTTATTCTCTGTATTAAAAAGCCTGTAACATAATACACTTCCTTTCCATGCAAATGATGTGAAAAAGTATCCAATTACTTCACTGATAGCCCCAGATCAGCTGTTGAGACCCTTCCCTGCTTTCACTCCTCTTTATAATTCAGTCTTTGTCAGCTAATATAAAATCCAGATTCTCCCGTATCTTTTGCTGTATTTCTAATATTTAATAGAGATGTAAAAATATTTGGTTTGCTGAATTTCTCTCAGATCTTGTTATTTGAATATCTACATACTCTCACAAAACGCAAACACCTTTCTAGCTGCTGAGTCTTCCCCTGCTTCAAGAACGATCCACGTAGATATTCCTACAGCTCCGTTCAATGGTAAATTAGTTCACCATTAAGTGCTCCTCAAGAATGTAAAACTTTGTTTACGCAGAAAACAAATTCGAAGCCCTCACTCCAACATGGTTACAAGCATGGGGGAGGAAAAAAAGGCAAATTCTAGGCATACTAAGTCAGAGAGAAAAAAAAGCTATAGCTAACAGCACAGGTGTGTTCCCTTTTCGTATGTAAAAGTTATAAAATAAGTCAACTCTCTGTACCAATAATGTACACCTTCATGTCACATTAAGTACTGTTTTCTTTTATGGCATTATGTCAGTCATTTAAAGCAAATTATAAAGGCTCATTTGTAATCCAGTCCACACTTATTCTAATAAATCCACAATAATTCTTAATTGTAAATTCCCTTTTAATTGCTCCATTGTACAGTTTATTGCTGCGGGTGACAACTATTTTCACACTGTGTTTGCTCTTCATATAAGCAGCTCACGTAAGTAGTTACCATGAGATGCTGCTCATTGAGGTGGGGAAAATGGGTACACGTGCCTTGGGCCTGGATTGTGTCCTGTTCTTTAAAAAGAGAAATTCTTTTCACTATTATCAGCCTATCCATTTAGAAGGCAGATCTTCCTGATTCTGTCCAGTCCCCTCCAAAAGAGGAATCCTCTCAAGTTCTGTTACAGACCACTCTTTCCTTTGAAGTGCTACACAATTTTCTCTGCTGTTAAAGTGGTCCTAACCCTGCAAAGAAGTCGATTATAGCACTATTTTGAAGCACTAGACCTTAGTAAACAGCCAGGATATGAGTTGCCTCCCTCAAAAGCAATTATAATACAGTACCTGGAAAGTTTATCAAACATGTTGACAAGCTTCATAGCTTCATATTCTTTTTGCTCTTCCGTCATTTCATCCATCGGATTGGGCATTGGTTCTTCTAAGTGACCAGTGATAAGGTTAATGCTGGAGGTAGAAAAACAATACAGTTCACATTTCTACAGAAATATGTAAATTGTCTACCTTCTTGATAGGAGGAATGAGGAACACACTGACAGAAACCACCAAGATTAAAACTGTCTGAACTGCACATGGAAGTTTTTACTTTAAATATCCAGCCTTCATATTTACACCCTTTTGGTAGCCTTTTCTTGTGAATTGTGGTATTATCTTCTTATTGATTCACTGTATAAATTTCTTGTTAGCTACCCAGAAATACACAGTACACTAGGACTTGTTATGTTATAACCCATACACAAGTGGTTTGAAAGCAGGGTAATAATGACAATGTCATTAGTAATAATGACATACATGGGGAGCAGAATGACAGATAGGTGTTTGAAACTAATTCTGTACAGGTTTAATTTTAAAAATATAGACAGGTGTCAGTTACATTTTCTTATTCAAGAAAAACACTTTCAGGGCAAATTATCTTTTCAAGCAGTTGAATCGCAAACATTTAGTAGCAATACAGAAAATCAGATGCAAAAATCAACTGACAGTTGTCTTGAATGTTTCATTTAAGTGTCAGCTTTCACCTATTTAGATGTTATAGTTTTAGGTTTTGAAAGAAGAAGAGAGACAAAAGAGCAAGAAAAAATAATCCTGAAGTACAGAAATAAAAAGAAATCTCTTGTTTCAGAGTTCATTTCTTAGCAAAGAAGCAATATGATTCCTGTAACTTCTCATAATTTAATCCTGTCTTTCACTTGTGTTCTTTAATAAGAATCTTTAAATAAGCCACAACTCCCTGTCATATACCTAGTCATGTCTGTGTAATTCAAGGAAAACGGAGTAAAGCAGAAAAATAACATGCTTTGGATGCCCACTATCAACAATTTCAGAACCTACTTAAAATGGCATCAAATCATAGAGGTAACATGGCAAACTGAAACCTCTATCACCAAAACAATCACAATTAATAAAAATCAACAGACAGAGCTCCTCTATGATCATTGAATCCTTCAAACAAACATGTTGGATTCCTGATGCATGATTTCTACAGAAGGTGTTTACTCCTTCCATATTTACCCATGTGACCTGATTGACTCTTTAGGAAAATTTTAGTACCAGGCAATCTGACTGAAACTAGACCTACTGGTTTGTTCCTTTTTCACAAAGTCCCCCTTAAAACTTTAAGTCACATTTGACGCCTCCATTTTCTCTGTTAAAGAGATAATACCCCATAAAGAGTAGTTTGGCAACTTCATGTGAGTTCCTGGAAAATCTGGGGCAAAAGCCACCCTTGGTAAATTTGTTACTTTAATTTTTTTCTAAAATTTGCTAAAAAATCTCTTTTCACACTTGACTTCTAAATAGCTATTCAGACTGAATTTAAATAATTTTCATAGTGATTTCTGTTTTTTTTTCCTGGAGCCATCTCTCTATACGATGGTCACCATTAGAGGCCGGTTTCTCAATAATTAGATGATGAGTCAACAAGACACAGTAGCTAATATAAGCACATGTAATTCCAAAAATGGCCTCTCTGCAAAAGGGGAAACAAAAAAAAAATATGTCAAAACATCTACATTGCTACAGGATATAATAAAAACAGGATAAAACAATACTATACTTTGGCTTTGCAGATTTGTATTCTTCTGTATCTGTATCTTCATCATCTGAGTACCAGTGGTCTCCTCTTCCTCCAGCTAACAGGCCCCTTGCTGCCAGCAATCCTGCTGCATTACCATAGCCTGTATATTTTAGCAAGCTGTCCACTGCAAAAAGTGATACAGAAAATTATTGAGCTACAATCAACTACAAAACAAAAGCCAGCATAGTGTTATGAGAATTGCGAGGTACAGCAAGAGCCAAATACACTAATTGCAGCAAGACCTTATATAAAAGGGAGAAGAAAAAGTAATTTTTACCTCTCTCTTTGCAAAGAACAAAAAGAAATTCTGCTGCAATTTGCTTGACTCCAAGGTCTACGTGTGTCATAAGGCGCACAAGCTTGTTTCTCACTGTTGTGCCAACTTCTGGACGACTTGATACGTCTCTTAACGGAGGCAATACCTAGCAGCACAAATAAAGGAAAACCAGCATAGAATGCATGGCAATACCTAGCCATTCCTTGCAGAAACAAACACAGTCAATGGAACAAGAAAATACTCTAAGCTCCGCCCCTTAAAAAAAAAAAAGGAATAAAATCAACCCAACTGTGTTTACATGCACTAGAAATGACTCTCACTTCTTAACGTATTCAGGCCTTCTGCGCTGCCATCTTGGGCAGAAGAGTACTCAGTGCCACATGTAGGCTTTAAAAAAAGACAACTATTAGGAGTTTAAGAGCACAAATGAGTGTCCCAAAATAGTTGGCTAAGAGGCAGCAGTAACCTCAGTTCTTTGTTTCTTCTGTTCTGCTCAAATATCTGGCAAAAGCATTAAAACTACCAGCTTAGGGAATTTACAATATTAACATGATGTGTAATTTACGCAGAACAATGAACATACTTACAGTGAAAAAGCAGGAAAATAAGTAACATTGCAAGTCCTACTACCATGAATTTCAAAAATTAGCTCTATGTGTACTTTTCCCAGAAAACACTCTTTTAAAAGCTGAAGCTATGTTTCAAAGAGATTTTGGGGAAAACACTATTAAACATTTCCTCAAACACACTATTTTCTCATTAAATGTCATTAGCATTGTTCAACCCTGAAGAAAGGCAGAAGGTGCCTGAAACATGGCTGGTTTTGCAACTTAACTTCCACCTCCTTGTGCATATGCATTCAGACCCAAGACTTACATCAATTTTTCAAATTCACAGGATATGATATGATCTGCAAACAAATCTGGGCCGCAGTATGAAATATTTAATGGTCTGAGGAGTCCGGTAAGAATGTTTTACTAGGGAATGAAACCAAAGATGTCACTAATTGTCATAAGAAATTGCAGGTCCTTTGTCTTCTCAGTGTCTAATGTAAAAATGTCATGTTCTGTGCAAAATTAGTGCACAATTACTACTGAAATTGGACTCACTGGGAACTGATACTTAAACAAATGAATGCTACACTATTGACTGCTTTGAAAAAAACAGACCCCTTCTTTTTCAAACTAAGTATTCAAGCAATTAGCAAAAGCATTTCACTTTGTCCCTGCTTACTTTCCCCAATGGGATAGTACCATGACTGCCATTTCACAGAATGTTGTAAGAATGAATTAATGTTTTTAGAATAGTCTAGTACTAATACAGTGATGAGTGCCATAGGACAGTCCATGAGGAAATTAATCATTCTGTCTTCAGATCAGAATTTGAATAGTGCACAATAAATAAAGCCTCAGGCCAACACTTAACAATGAGGGCAATTCAAAATATCAAACATCCGGTCATGCAGTTAGCAGCATCCATCTATTCTGTGCACTATATGAGGCAGTGGTCCTGTGGTAAGAGGCAGCATGCAATTATATCCTGACATCTAGACACTGAGGTGTCGTAAAAACATGCAGACAACATCATTTTCTAACTTCTGAACATTTGGCTCTGCATTTTTTTATTACTTTTTTTAACTTAACAGATCCGAAGAGTATCCTAGGAAAGAACTGCTGTGAACAAACCCAATAAACAAGAAGAATGAGTTTCTTAAATTCCTCAAAAACACTATTCTGGTATAGATGAAAGAGGCAGAAAATATATGCAAAATATGTTCTTTTCCATTATAAACTCCATTTATGAATTCAGATGCAGCTTTGAGCTGGGACCAGCATCTAAGATGCAACCCGAAAATCACTGCAGCTTAGGAAAAAGATTTCTCAGCTGGCTTCAGTTGTCTCTCCGTTGCTCATCTTTTAACTTCTCTCCACTTGTGGAAAAGCAGCAAAACAAGCAGAAACCACCCAATCACCAAGCTATAGAGAACCTTCAGATCTTTAACCATGGCATGGAAATCTTCTTTTTCCTGTAAAAAGCCTAGTCACAGTCTGTACCGTATTAAACAGCCCTTTTAAGAGACCCAGTGATGAAGCGTGCCTCTGTTCAGGGACAGAGTTTTACTCTGACAGAACAGCTGATACCCACCGGTGCACAAGTTTCCATTCCAATGACTCCTGCCTGCTAAAGTCAAACCAAAGCTCAGGCAGAACCCACCAAAACACCTGTAGCCTTGCTGGCTACCATACTACTTTGCAAAGTTCTGTTAAGGGCACTGAATTTTTTTTTATATGCTGGATGTCAGGGGACAGAGCTCACTGAGCTCTTTGCCCCTGCATCACATGATCCGTGGTGACCCACATTAACACAGCTTTACAACACCCCTAATGTTATTATTTAACAGCTCTAAAAAATATACCTTAGAACTTAGGCCATAATACCTATTGATTTACATGAAATATTGAAAAATTATTTTTATAGCAGACTGAAAAAAACTCAGGAAAATAGAAAAAAATACTGCAGAGAACTTTGTGGGTCATTTAATATGAAATCATTCATATTTTTAAAGTATCAGTGTCTTCCACTGATGTACAAGCCTCAAAAGGTTTATCATTAGCATCCTATTCAAATTTTGATGAATGTTTTACTCACCTGAGCTTTGATAAACTTCCTGATATTCCTATGAGTTCGGCAGCATTCAGTTAATAAACTGAGAACTGGAGTCAGACCTTCTCTATAGCTGCTTCCCTAAAATAAAACCAAATAGAAACAAAACATCTTTAAGAGTAAATTTTCCTTTTCAAATCCTAGGAATCCTTCAATAAGGTCCTATATGACAGCCAAAACATGAACTTTGCCTAGATATAAACAAAGAGACAAATGTTTATCCTCTCACACACACAAGTAATGTTTCAGATAGTCACAGGAATTTGTTCTCAATTTTGATGTGTTTCACAATCGAGAAGCAAGGTCATCCATATTTGTGCTAAATACTGTCTGAAAGGGTTGTAAGAAACTTTACACGGCCATTTTTTGCTTTAATGAAAAAGTAAGGCCCCTTTTGCCACAAATCTTTACAGTCCATACCTTGTCTATTCTCTTCTCCATGAAATCCAGTAAAACTTGAATTGCTCCCATATTCATACCATTGTATTTTATATCTGTTTCCTCTTGGGATGATGGACTAATAAGAACATCCAAGCAAGAAACGGGAACATTGCTTAAGAGGTTGATTGCATTGCTGAAACAGATTATAAAAATTCATTATTCATTTGGAAGAAAAAATTAAAAACAGAGTACAACTCACCATAAACTGTTTGTACAACTGCAACCAGAAAGAGGCCCTGCAACTCAAACAATGCTTTATTTTCTGCTCGCTGGGTTTTAAAGAAGGTGGCATGCATTATCGCCCGAGTGCTGGCTCTTGGAATAAACAAGGAAAAAAAAAAGACAAAAGCTCCAAAAGCTATATAGCAGCAGTGCATTATTACTTCCAGCCCCCGCAGTATCCCATCCTGTAGATAAGGGATGGCTTCCAGCAATGTTACAGCAGCTGATGCTGCAGGACAGCAGGGGGAACTCTCACATTGATTTGCAGCGGTCGGAGCTTTTTCCTACTTGAAACATTTTACAACACATCCTTATTACCATCATTAATGTGACCAAGCACACCATAGTAAACATTTCCTCCCCCTATAGCAGTGGGGCATGGTGGCTATTTCTCCTGTCCCCTGAAATATTTCCACTTGTACTTAGCTTGTAGTGTACAGGAAACACAGAAGGCTTTTAACACATTAAAAAAAGATTCAGGTTTATTTACCAAGCAGTACCTTTCAGTAAGTGGCAGCCTTTGCATTCTACGAAGCTGAGTGCTTCCCAAATATCCATTAAGTGATTTAAATTAAACCACAGGGTCCCTCCCTCCTCTTTAATGGAGTAAGATGGGACTTATTTGCAAGGGTCTCTTATGGTACATATCCCTTGAGTTTGCTGTCTATCCTGTTACACAGACTTGCATTTGTACTCTTCCTGAATATGGGGCTAAATTACACAGACGCTGCAAAAATTAGAATTCTGTCATTGTTTACTTGCTGATGTGTAACTAAAATTCTAAATGGATATATTTAGAAAGACTACAGAACTATTCAGGCTTACACATGCAGATCTCAAAGCTATTAACAAAACTACGAGCACTGATGTTTTAAGGATTGGTGAAGTGTTCCAAGAATAGAGAAAACTTTTCAAACAACTTCATTTAACACTTTTACTAATATTTACTTAGAAGCTGCCCTCAGTTTTTATGATATTAATACAATTCTAATAGACGATTAGTACAACAGCAAGCAAACCATGGCAATCAAATGTAACAGGATTTCTAACAAATGCTCTAGTTTTGGTCTGCTCAGACTGGGTGGCTGTTCCACATTGTGCCATCTCCCTTTTGCCCTTTTAGCAATTGAAATTCAGACAACTTCTACCTCTTGGAAAGCTTGTTCTCTTTGTTTTGTTTCCAATTCCTGTTTAAGATATATCTTTTATATCATGGAAGTTATTCCTCTCCAATAATTCAGGAATAGGCAGAAACAAAACAGACTGAAATTCAACAAATATTTGGGGGCTTCAGGCTTTTCATCAAAAGTTCTCTTTTTACCAGTTTCTTATTAAACAACCAAGTTCCCAAACACCTACAAAATTAATTTTCTGGATCACTGTGTCTGAGCTATTCTTTTCAATAAATGAAGCCCGGCTTTCTGATCTTTGTCACTCCACTGACAGTTTTATTTGTGGTAGAGGAGTGTATGAAATTCTCCAGCTACCAGGAAGTCAGTGACTATGCACAGATCTGCACAATAGTGTTTGCATTCCTACTCCAGGGGGTAGAAATACTGCGTATATTACTCTCCCCTTTTCGGCTTCCTAGAGATCATTAATCACTGGGACATGACATCCACCCACTCATGCTCCCAGCCCCCTCCTGATATGCAAATTCGGAAGCAAAGGCCTATTTAGAGCTGCTGAATGCCTTGATTAAAACCTTGTTAGTGGGCAAAAATGGCACTCACTCTAATGTGTGGTGCTTTAAGCTGTTCATATTCAAAAGTTAAGTAATGACATGACAGAACCACAATAATGACAATACCAGGTACTAAATTAGTGAAGATATTTTTATAGGTAACTTCTCCTTATTTATTAGAGTCACACTGGCAATCAGTACGTCACAGCTTAGGGCACATATCCAGCATAAATGATTGCATAAAATAAATCCTCAACTTAAACATTCAGAGCACAAGCATTCATTCATACAATGTGCTTTAACTGGCTGCCCAAACCCTTCATTTAAGCATCTTAACGTTCTGCAGATTTACAAACTTACAGAAGTGCAAGTGATCAGCAGTTCTAAGAAATATACTTATGCCTCCCCGATGCTTTGCAAAGTTTATTCTGCATTCAGGACTGCTTATATTTTATTCCATTTTTAATGTTATTTTCGTAACTGCTTCGCTGATAGGCACCAGGTGGAACGCAGAGCGAGAAGTTGCACTCTGCTCTCTGCCTCACACCTCATCTCTGGCAATAAAGATTGCACGGTCAGAGTCCAGCAATAGTGAACAGCCCAAACAATGACACAGCCTCATTTTTTTAGCTATGCTACGTTAGCTATAGTCTGCTAACACACGTTTACTCATTCGTTATTGAAGCTCCTATCGGGAATGGAAGATTTGCTTGAGCAAATACACCAGGGGACTGAAGTGGGGCCCTCTGATCTGGGCCCCTGATCCTTCTGAGGATTTTCAGGGGCATTAGTTCTGACTATACCTTTTCTATTCCAGAGATGCCTGATGATGAATAGTCTTGGTGGAATAGAGTATTAAATTATTCAGTTTTTATTGCATCCTGTAGCATTCAAAGACAAAATTCTGGTTCTGCAAACAGGCTGAAATATTTGAATCACAAAAGTCAAAGCTTTTGCAGTGCTCTTCTAGCAATTTAAAAAGACCTCAAATATGACATGAATCAAGAACAAATACCACATGCAGCAATACTACATTTGCATTCTTCTTTCTATCAGCTTGAGCTAAAGAAACTTGCTACAGTTAGCTAGCAGAGGGAGAAAGTTGTTTTCCCAGCCTAACAGACTGAAGCAGTGCTATGCTGAGTCTGATGGAGAAGTTGGAAACAACTGAAGTGACACAAGGCAGTGAAAATCCTCCTCATTTCTTTTCTGCTTCCCCCTCTCAGAATTAGGGACAATCCTTGCCTTGGCTTGGTGTCTCCATAAGGGCAGCGTCTCTGCCCACAACATTCCTCCTGACTGAAGAAAGCAAGGACAGAAATTACACCAATACTACATCTTCTCCACAGCTGCCAACTGCTATACGTAAAGCCCTTTTTGGATGTCATCTGCAAAGGTTTGCAAAAGCTAAAACCAGAAGGACCTGCATAACATGCATCCTTTTGCAATAGCGCAAGATAATTACATTTTACAGGGTGATATATTCCACAGGGTGATTAGACTAGTCACATCCTTGGACAAGGAAACGGGACATGTTTTTATGGGAAAAGCATCAGCTGTATAATAATTCACCAGATATCAGGCAGTTTTGTTGACTCTGTACAAGCTTAAGTGCTAAAGACCAATCTCTGTCTTCTTATAGTTCAATTTTCCCAACAATGAGGAACTTATTTCCACCAGACCCTCCCTTAAAGGAGGATGAGAGCACAAAACACCCACCATAAGCAGCAGCAAAGAGAAAACACTGAGCACCTTTTAGGACATGCTCAGCACTAACTTCAGTCATGGCAACTACTGCAGCAGGATTCTAAATTATTCCAAACCAGTCTGCACCAACTGAGAAGGGCTCTGATGTTAAGTGTTCACCTACTAGGACTGCTGATCTCTAAGAGCTTGCCAAGATTTTCGTTAAGTTCATTTAACCCTTTCAAGGCTGCTGGGTGTGAAAAGCTTCTCCCTGGAGACTGCTGTTCAGAAAATGACCTTCAAAAGATCCTACGCTTAGATATACAGACATCTAAGAAGAAAATGGCAACACTAACTTTCATTGCTGAGAGATAACATGGGATAGCATTTGAAGCTATTGTACTGTTGGGCCCTGTGAACAGCTGACCTACTTGGATAAAAATAAGGATGTCATGGAAAAAACCTACTAACACTGAATGGAGAACTACCACTTAACTAAAAATACCCTGAATTTTGATTGTATTATTGGCTGCAAATGCATAACAAACAGCTGGGTGCAGGACTGAAGTAAAAAACTAACCAATGCACCTAAAACTGCAAGATGATTTACTCATCTTTGGGGAAAAAAACCAACAAAAATCTTACCAGGGAACTAATATTTGTACTTTTAATTAAGCAGCCTAGAACCACTGGAGATAAAATATCAACTTGTTACTTCCATCCCAATCCACCAGAATGGCAAGTTACATGCAAAAATCTCCAAATGCAGTTTTTCCATCAGCTTGTGTGCAAAACAACAAAAGTTGCATTCCACTTTAATTTGCACTGCCTCCGGAACTTCCAGATATACTTTCATCCTCAGTTACACAAAAAAACCCCAAATTTCAAAAAGGTCATCTTCATTGTTATTGATTAAAAATAGCAACCTCACCAGCCACTTCCTCTCTGGAATGGTGGACACATTTAAACAATATTTCAGGCAGACAGTTTTCATCAAAAAGCTTCATAATATTTTACTCAAAACTACAGTTATCATTGCTTCTCAGATTCCCACTTCAGATTTCAGTTCTGTTTTTTAAAAAATAAGTAATAACCTTTTAAAATAGATTGGTTCTGTAATTCTACCGACCTGTGCAACTCTTCAGTTTTGTCTTCAGTAGGGCCCGTGGTTAATAAGCAGTGTCGAAGGATGGCAGCCATATAACGAAATTGATGAGATTCATTCTATATAAATATAAATTATGAAGATATTTTTTCATTTTGAAGATTGCAAGTGGGGGTTTCAGGTCACTAGAATAATAAAAATTAAAGATGGAAAATACCTATTAGATCATAACACCCATCCCTATATCAACAAACGGACTGCACCTAAGAGTTCACGGAATCTTTAATGCAACGTAATTGTCATATGCTGGCCTTTTAACCAGGCCTTTTAAAAGATGTGGGCATTTTTTTCCAGTCAAATGAGTCTCCACTACCAGAAAACCCAGTTACAAGCATTTGCTCTATTCCATACTATTATTCTTAATATACTATAACTATCTTTCTTCCTGCATTTACACCCGGCCGCCTCTTCATCCATTCAGATTACGTATGTTCTTCATTTCATTTGCCGCCTCCTCATTTAGATTTTTTGCTGCCAACAGTTTCATTCCCCCACCCAGTCTGTTTCCTTTCCTAATTTGCTTGCTTCTGTTCCCTTGATATCTTTTCATCATTGCCTTCATAACTTCTCTACTCTCAGCAACCTTATTTGCCCTACTTTTGCTTTCTCCAAGCAACTCCCCCGTCCGATCTCCCACCAGACAGCAGCCACACAAAAGTGCACCCGTAACTGCAACCATTTAATTGTGTGTATCATTGTCCCGGTCCTTTTTCATTAGCTCTTCTTGGCATCCATCATATGTTCTGGTGTGTTTGACCTAGCACAAAGCGCCCCAATGTATCCTTTGTAACACCACCATCCCAATCTGCCAACTGTACCACCTGCGGCTCTTGTCTGGCTTTGCTACTCTGAAACCATCTCCAGTCATTAAATATTGGTGTTTCAAATGGTGTTTCTTTCCCTCAGGACCAGTCTCATTTAGTTTTCTACCCGCACCCCTAACCTCTCTGGTCTCCTTTTATTTTCCATTCTGTCTACTGTTTGTAATCTCTTCAAATTCAGCATCTTCAGCCCACTTAATTAACATGCTGTTTACTTTTCTTGCAGATCATTAATATTTCCACAGGGATGCTCGCCAGGCAGACTGCCACCTAACATACCTGGCTAACAGTTTACAACTACGACAGAGCTCTTTAATTTAAGGGTTGCTTGCCTTTAGAAACTTTTATGAAGAGTTATATAAGCTTTATCTGAAAACACAAAAGGAGGTTCTCCCACCCCAGAATGTCTTAAACTCTCATCCAAATAACATAAATAAATAGGTACTAACACCAGAATTCCCTCTCATCCAAAGGAAATTCTCCTGACAAGCTGTGTGCTTGGGCTCTTTGGGGAGGAAAAGTTCTGTGGGAAGAAACCTCCCTCACCCCACAGACAGCGGCCAAACAAAACCTCACCAGGTCACACCACAACTGTGTGCCACCTCCCGCCTGCCCTTCTGCTCTAAACTGGGCTTTGAATTTCTCAAGATTCAAGTAAACCAATCTCGCGATCCAGATTTCAAGAGCTGATGTCTCAAGAGGTGAACATGTAATATAGAATATAGATTCATTTTCCAACCTAACACCTGACATTATTTCCTCCACACATCACAAAGATGGTAATTCTCAAACCCTGAAGTAGCAAACATTCATATCGCTGTGTTATATGCTTGACTTTGAGTCAAGTTTCTCCACCCAAGTTCCTACCTCCACAACAATCACATGTCTATACAAAGAACTTTCCCTGACAAAGATATTTTTAATAAAGGTCAGGGATACAAACAAGAGGAAGGCCCCTCACATTCTTCTCATTTCCTTGAAATTTGAAGTATTAGCTTTTCTGCTTCCTCCCTCCCTCCCAATCCCAAGTTTCAAAATTTCTTATTCGGTGTACCCTTGAGACATTAAAGCAAAGAATAAGCTTCATACTTTTCTCACGTTTTACATTCCTTAATGTTATGATTAATATCGTATTTGCTGCTTAGTCCAATACACTAAAGAGAACAGTTATTTGTCAATTTTAGCTACTGTAAACTTTTACTTAGCTTTATATGCTGCATATTTACAATGCCCAGTGACAAGTTAACACTGTTTTAGAGACAATACGATGTGGATTGAAAGAAAGATCCCCTATTTAATTCTGTTACTGTAGCACAAGCTTAAGTTACTTAACAAAAAAGCCAGTGTTATCATTTCTGTTTATAAATTTAGGGATGCAACACATAAAAAGAGAAAAAAAAGTAGATGTGATGTTGTAATGAAAAAAACAAGATGCATCTTATTCCTAAGTCATAATAATGAAAGTGTGCCTGGATCTTGTACTTGACCTCATTTTAAAAAGATAACGTTTAAGTCCAAACCTGGGGTCAGGAAGATGGGACAGAAAGATATTAAAACCAGTGCCACACTTTCTTCAGAGTTATTTGTTAAAAATTACAGTTGATCTGCTTATCATTATCCCCAGGAAAACAGAAGAAAACTAGGGAGACTTCTTAGCTCTAATTATTACCCTATTGCCATAGTCCACAATCTCCAGAGATGTAGCCATCTGATACACTTATATTAGAAGTCAGCTAATTATTAGTGAAGAACATTATTTTCTTTTATAAATCTCAGACTCTTAGGAAACGGCCACTTTAGCATTCTTTCCTTGAAAACACAGAGTTCTAACTTGCATTATATAGTACAAGCTACTCTCCCATTACACAAAAATGTATTGATCAGATTTTTTGCCTAAATAGTAACAAGAACAAAAGTTATTTTGGTATTCAAAGCAATGAGCATTAAAGACTCAATACCTCTTGAAAGCCCAACATTATCAATATATGACAGAAGCAGAATTCAGACAGACAAATCTTCTCAGACTATTTTTGCACATCAGGAAATTAGGATGTAAAATTTCAAACTACCTTAGCTGCTATTTTGAAAAATGCAATCATATTCCATCAAAATTACAGTAGCAAAAATTAAGTATTAAAATCGTTGGTCTGGAGCTTGGACAAGAACTGCCCCTTGTGTATCTACCTGCTGGTTCTGGCTCTTGCAGCCTAAACAAAACCAATTTAAAAACCACTTCAACTAAACCTTACCTTGCTGTGGACATTCCAGCTGTCAAGTGTTACATTAAAAAGAGCCTTTAGTGCCTCAATGGCACAATCTGTCTCTTGCAAAGATAAAGGAGGCCTGTCACGATCTTCCGCTGCTTTATATTCTTCTGTCCATCTTACACTCAGGGAACTTTCCAAAGCCTGAGTCAAAACTTCCACCCCTTGTAGTTCCTGACGCAACTGCGATCTGATATCTGTGTGCAGAAGTGACAAGAGGAAGAGGAGACGCAAATCAAAGCATTTAATGTCATCAACAAACTGTTGGTCCTTGCATTTTTCCAGAAGTTTGCAGAGCATAGCTGCAAGATTCAGTTCCAAACTGAGCTTCTGTGCAACAGCACTGTTAAAAATAATGTTACAGAGGCATTTTAAAGCTTCTACTATAACAGGAAATTCAGACACTCTCTCCAAAGGATCTTCAACAGTGTCCAGCTTTGCTAGCCTCATAAGGATCTGCATGTTCCTCTTCGTCGTTACAGGCACTAAAACCTTCTTGTCCCTGGAGAGAATCCGGAGGGCCTCCAGGCAGGCAACTTGACATGAAGTCTTCGTGTCTTTTTCAAGGATGTTTAGAATTCCCTCACATAGTTTCTATGCAAACACAAACAAACAAAAAAGGAACAGTTTTAGCATCAAAATATTGGTGGCAATAGCTTAGATTTTGCTAAAGTTCCATATTACTTTTGAGTTTTCAGCTGACTTGACTTGACCACAGGCTGCCCAGAGAGGTGGTTGAGTCTCCACCTCTGGAGACATTCAAAACTCGCCTGGACATGTTCCTGTGCAACCTGCTCTAGGTGGGCCTGCTTTGGCAGGGGGTTGGACTAGATGATCTCCAGAGGTCAACCCCGTATCACTCTGTGAGAAAGTAGGTATTCAGCTCTTCAAAATACAAACTATTGCAAAAGACGTCCAAAGACCATCAAAACTATTTTCCCTGAGGGATGCTATCCAAGGACATCAACACTGGCAAAAGCATCAGGCTAAAAGGGCAGATGCCATCTACCATTGCCAGCTAGCAAGCTTTCTCAATATCAGGACTGAAAACCAGAGTAGCCAGAGTAAGCAGGCTAGAGAGAAGTGAAAGGTTTTAAAAATATGTTAAAGTAGAACAGTCACGCCTACAGTATGTGCAAAATTATAAGCTGAAATTGTTTCAGTCAGGAGTCCGAGACAAAAGAAACCAAACCAAAATAACTGCTGCTCAACATATAAATATCAGTACTCCATGTTTGGTAACAGGTATAATTTGTGTTGCCACTTCAACCTAATCTAAAGACTTCTCCCATCCTAAGTAAGATTCTCAGAAATGTTACCTCTGACATAGAAACATAATAGAGTTTTATTGGAAGACTTAGGCTCTGACAGTTTTACCAAACCAGCAAAACTGCTGTTTCATCAACACAGATCGCTCTTGAAGTCAAAATACTTCACTGATATACTTTATACCATGGTGACTGCAGGAGTAAACATTAATCATATAAACACAGCATGAGAAAATACAACACTCAAAATTACCTTTTATGACAATCAGGTGATCAATCAAAAGGGAAAAAAGACAGTTCAGAAGAGATTGCTTGATGGGGAGGACTCCATAGGGGTTTTATGCCTTAAGCTCAGAATAACACTACTACTTGTGGGTACCAGAGCCAGAAGAAGAGTAACGAAGAAGTTCCCAGATAAGTGGTAGTACAAACTGCATTGTACCTCACAGGACACAGTTCCTCTCCTCTTTTCACCCCACAAGCTTTGTGTCTTGACCACTGACATGAATAGGTTACCAAAGAAGCCAGAGTAACTACTGAGTTGAACAGCCCTACTGCAGAAATCCACTTAGGATCTGAAATTCATATCATGGTCTCAGGCAGTATAGGTCAGTAAGAAAGTGATTTAAAAAAAAATAAAAATGTAGGAATACTAATAAAGTAAAAAATAGTTCTTAGAGAACAGTTTCTAGAATTGCACTTTTCATCACCATCACAACAAAAAGGAAGGAAGCACAGCAGCCAATCACCCTGACCCAAAGTTCAAAACAAAAGTTCCACTTGGGACATCCAAGCAAGTTCTGTTACTGTGATCGCTTACAACTAAAGCCAAAATTAAAAAAAAAAAAGGTTAAGTCTAAAGCAAATCTAGAACAGACACTCCAGAAGAATAAGGGAGAAAAAAACACAAGCCTTCAACAATGTTAAAAGAAAATCTGTAAACAAAGTCAGACAGTAGGAACTCACAATACGATTTCTAGTATGCTTGTCCTGGGGTGAAGCCCACCCAAAAGCACCACCCAGATGAGCAAGACCTTGCCTACATCTCTACAGCCCTGACTAGATTAATCCAGTAAGTGTTTGAAAACAAGGGGTGAGCTCCACCTCTTACTATCACGCAAGCAACACGAAGAATCTTTGTCAGGGTATTATAGACACTGCAACAGTATAAAGCCCACGTCTGACCACCTGCGCAGGTGTAAAACTACTAACCAGGGGAATTTTATAGACAAGTATTGGAAAAAGATAGTCAAGTACAGAGTTTTCAGAGTTCTTCAACATTAACCTAATGCTGCCCCCACAGAGCTGTACAACCCCCTGAGTTGAGCATAGTACGCTAGACCTGCACTAAACGGTTCTGATGGTGGCATCTTTGAAGCGTTTTTTAAAAAATGCCTAGGAAACAAAAACTGACCAGCCTAGATCCACAGTCAGATTACCTGGTCACAGCTCAACTTCTTACAATAACTTTGTTTCTATTGTTAAGAGAGTTTCCCATACAATTAACTTTGCTTTGCAAGCTGAAGCAACAGCCATGAGGTCTGTTTAGTTTTGAGGAGTAGCACAGGACTGAACAGACAGCTCAGAGGGCTTCAGGAAAAGGTCAGTTTATTCTATTCCCTGTTTAAGGACATTTCTATTACACTTAGCAGTTGTTGACGTCAGTTGCTACAGGGTGGTCCGTAGCAATTTACGCAAATTCAACAGCTGGTTCATCAGCTGGACTCTCCCTTTCTTCAGGAACCCTGTACCAATGCCATATTGCCAACACAGGGAGCCAAGTTAGCAGCCTGCCCCAAAACACTTCAAAGACATACTGGGACAGATAGACTGCTTTATCAGTAAATAAATAAAGCACACAACCATCTGATTTTTCATTAGCAGCACCGAAGGTTTCTTCTAGGACCAGAGGTACTGAGGATCACTTCATAAATTATCTGATTCAATCAATACCCACTGAAATTAAAGGGAGTTTCTACTCATTTTTTGTTAGCAGCAGAGCCTATACACATCTTGCATCTGGTCTTTAATCTCAGATAAAACCTGAACACTCATTCGACTACAAAGAGATCAATCCTCCCAAATTCAGACTCATTTTTTTCTTTTTTTAAAGTTGCATCTACCTGCTGCTATGTAAGCGTCACTGGAAAATGTCAAAAGCACTGCAGGGGAGATCCCAAAGGGCACCAAACTCCCACTGACTTGCCATGGGAGGTGGAAGCCTAACCCTCCCTCCATACATTAGAAGACTAACCTTGCAATTTAATTAAAGATCATAAAAACCATCAACTCATGGCTTCAAATCTTAGTGAAATGCAGCAACAAAAGATTCTTAACCCTCAAGAGCTGTACTAAAGATAGAGACTAAATAGAACACAAGCTTTTTTTTGTTTGTTTTTTTGAGATTTAGCAATCTACTTACAACTTTAAAAACCCAAACCACCGGTGTGCTTGTAAGGTTCTTCATTTCGTACATGTTCCTGAAGCCTTGGCTGTATAAAAGATTTCACAATATAAGCAAGGCTACAGCTTACGTTAAAAAGCGCTAACCATACAGTTTTATGCATAGTATATTAATAACTAAGCCATCACACACTTAAGAACAAGTTATCAAGCTTCCTAGCCATTATGGCAAAACACATTTTTTTAAAGATGTAAGACTCACATAAGTGAAAAACACTTAAAAACGCTGACTAAGTTCCCTGGAGTTAGACCCTGGTAAGCCATCCAGAGTGATTTATAAAGGAAGCAGCAGTTGCGATACTGCCACTGGAATAGTACCAAAATCCGTGAAAGGGAGCCACTGCTGGCTCACCTCAGGTGCCAACAGGAGCTTCGGAAAAAATAGTGCATCTAACTGTATTTGAAGAGTTCTTCATGGGAAGTTTTGAAACAAGGAAACAAAATTCATCCTATTATGAAACTGCCTCGGAGACAGCTAAAACCAAACACCATACAACACATTTTCTGCTTTTATTCTTGACAGCGTGAGAGAAAGGATGCGCAGAGAGAAGAGAAACAGGAAAGGACTGGACCACAAAAGTATAATCATCCTTTTAATTTTCATTAGGTGGTGCTTTTTCTGCCTCCCTGTAGGCCATTAGGATAGCATAAGCTAAGGGGCACAGATGTTATTTATTTGCTTGGAAATGAAAGCAGGGGAAAGAATTCAGACAGCAAGGTACTTCCCCTTTCATGTAATAGATTATGACTGTCCTACTTGCAGGGATTTATTGCTATTCCTTGAATTATTGTATGAAATTAACATTGTTTTTTTTTTTTAGTTCTATCATTTCAGTAGTCAGAAGGGAGTTTGACTTTTATTGGTCATGCTACGAAAGAAGTGTTTTTCATATACTTCTCCACAGAACTGAGGCAGTTTCTAGTCTTTTAAAACTTTTTTATTGTAAAGTACCTTCACTTCTCCAAAATTCAAGAATTGCCAGCTTTTCTGCTAACAGCAAGGTTAAGAAAGAGCAACACAATCATGTCTTTTGTCTATGCTGTAGTGTGAGTAACATTAAAACACTTTAAAACTTTATTGCATGCTGAAACAGGAAGGCCAGAAACATCCATTTGTTATCTTGTTTTAACAAGCGAAATATTCATCCATTTTGGTCCTTTATCCTGATAGTATAAACACTTGATACTAAGAAGCAACTCAGTCCTATTGAAAAAAAGCAATATCCTGAAATACAAGAGACTTGTATCATCTTTTTACTTCTACCTTCTTTTGCCATCTTTGTTTTCCAGCTAATTAGATCGATGGGGGCGGGGAAAAAGAGGGGTGCACTGTAAGTGTCTATAGTCTGTGCTTATATTTTCCAGGCTCAATCTCAGCTGGGGATACTAAGTGCTTGTGAAAGACGGTGTACTTTATGATCTTGCTCTCTGGTCCTTTGGTGACCAAATGTGAGGTCTTTTTCCACCCTTTCTTTCTGTTTGAAGATGTTTAGAAAGCACACTTGACCTTGTATCCACTTTTTTCAATTCCCAGACCACTAAACTTTGGCTACATTATGTCAATTGAATTTACTGTAGCTTCTCAACACCAGAGCAATAAACGTCTTGGTGAGAAAAGGAGACAATTTCCCTTTATTTGCTTCTTCCTCTTTGGCAAATCATTCTCTTTACTTATACGGGCCTTCAGATTAGAGCAGGAACAAGAGAATATAGTCTCCATTCTGCAAGTATTCATATCCAAGCAAACAACACTGCTTTGCTGAATATAGCATTTAATTTAGACACAGATTATTCAGTGCTAGAGAAGCACCAATTCAAAGGTGAACAACAGAAGTTCTGCTAAACATTACAGAAATAGAGTGC